TGTATATATATATATATATATATATATATGTGTGTGTGTGTGTGTGTATATGTATGGATGTTGTGTATACATATATGTACATGTGTATATATATGTATATGAATGTTAGTGTATATTTTGTATTCGTATCTGTTCATGTAGGTATATATATATATATATATATATTCATATATATGTATGTGATGTGCTCATTCACATGCACACCTAAGTGTAGATGTACTTCGAGGTGACTATGTACCACTCGCAGTGTCTGCATATACTATTACTCTCCCATATCCAACGGACCTTATAATGTCACTCTCATATTATATACCGATGATAATGTTCTCTCACTTTCGGTTGTTGAGCTAACCGTTATACTTTCATATCCACAACAGAAGAAGTGACAGTATGATTCAACGTGTTTTGGGAGTCGTCAGCGGAGTGCTGAAAACGCTCTATCGCATTCCATACGCCAAGCGTCCGTTGGATCTGACGCTAACGTGGTAGGTATACTTATGTGTAGGTATTCTTCATTCTTCTGGTTGTGATGTAGCATAAGCCATGTGTTTAATAGTTATACTTGTATGTATGTGTATCGTTCTAGTTATGATTCAGCATGCATAATATATATATATATGTCCATACTTGCATCAAACTAAACGCGTGATTCCTTTGTTTCCTTCACTTCTTGTGAGTGTCAGGACTGCTGCTGCCGTGCGGTTGGGTAACGGGACGTTCTGTGGCGTAGGCCAATCAGTGCAGCCTGAAAAGACACTGATTCTGTACGAGTACGAGGGTTGCCCCTTCTGCAAGAAGGTTAGTACATGTTGATAGCTTAGTATGTTTTACAGGCATTGTATAGGCATAGTATGTGGTGGTTGATTAGTGAGTGGGTGGTTGATAGCTTAGTATGATTTACAGGCATTGTATGTGCATAGTATGTGGTGGTTGATTAGTGAGTGTTTGATTTATAGCTTAGTATGTTTTACAGCCATTGTATATGCATAGTATGTGGTGGTTGATTAGTGAGTGTGTGATTTATAGCTTAGTATGTTTTACAGCCATTGTATATGCATAGTATGTGGTGGTTGATTAGTGAGTGTGTGATTTATAGCTTAGTATGTTTTACAGGCACCGTATATGAATAGTATGTGGTGGTTGATTAGTGAGTGAGTTGTTTATAGCTTACTATGTTTTACTGGCATTGTATATGCATAGTATGTGGTGGTTGATTAGTGAGTGTGTAATTTATAGCATGTGGTGATTAAGATGTCTTAACTTGGTTCGATTAAATGGATATTGTCCTTTAAGGATCCAGGAGAAACCTGGTATCATCGAAATGCGAGTACGAGCACTGTTTGATTCTCCCATCATGTATAATCTATTAGCTTGGACTATTTTAGAATATATTAGTTGGTATGGTAATAGTCTGTAATATTATAGTCTGTAAAAATAATATTAT